GAGGTGTCTGTTGGCCGAACGTTGCCGTCAAGAATGTGCACTCGGTTTCCAAGCGCAGGCACTGAGGCCCATTCTGTAGTTTGATGCGTTCACGTGCGGAGGTGTCTGTTGGCCCTGAAGGAACCTACAGTTCAGTGCATCACTTCAGGGGGATGACTTTGAAGTTTCTGATTGAAGTCCTGGGTGCCAGCTCTCCAAGCAGCTTGGTTTTCAGCGCACACACTTGTTTTGACCTATTCTTAACCCCAAATCCTTTGGGAATTCTTTTCCTTTCTTCATTCCATGGTCTTTCCTTCACCCTCTTTTTTTCTCTTTTGTATGTGGAAAGATTGTATTTTTGTACCACGTCTCATACCTTGACATCTCGTATCTTCGGGGCTGTAGGATGTATTGGTGAGCACTTCACTGAAGGTGATGTGAAGGCACAGTGCTGGAACTATGCATCTGTTATAAGTAAGACTTGGATTTGAAAATGTCATCCTAGAGACAATCAGTGTTAATTTCCCACTGCTTCCGTGTCTCCACGAGCTTTCTCTTGGCAGACAATCCCTGTCCACCACCTAGGAAAGGAAGCGGACCAGCTGTCTCTGAATTGCTGCATCGGTGTGGGTGCTTTGAGGGGGTGCTGCGTTCTCCCCCTTTGACATGCTTGCAAAGTAACCACATGTTTTCTAGGAGCACAAACTTCTCAGCACTATGTTTTCCAGTGCCAGTCAGCATTAAGTGTGCTTTCTGGGTTGGTTTTTTCCTTTCCCATTTCTTTTCCAGCCCCCCTGCCACTTAAGATCCCTGCTCTTGACGAATGACACGAATGACACCTGCCTCACTGGTTGACGCCTGATCCCTTCCCTGTGGGTTTTGAGTTGGCTGACGGAACCAAAACCCAGCTCTTGCCATCCCAGCCTGTGGGCCGAGTCAGCTCTGACTAACGGCAATGCCATATGTGTCGGGGAGAGCTGTGCTCCTCAGGTTTGATCTTTCAGAGGTGGGTCCTCAGGCCGTTCTTCTGTGGTCCCTCTGCGTAGATTCAAACCACCACCCTTTTTGTCATTAGCAAGCACTTAACTGTCTGCAGCACCCAGGGACTAACCTGTCTTCATCCAGTTAATGTGCAACAAAATTTCTAAGGCTCCCAAGGTGTCAACCTCCCTCCCCACACACACTTTTTTTTTTTAATTATCACCATTCTGCAGAGTTCTTGTTTGGCCATTTGACTAGTTGGACTTTTGCTCCTCACTTGTGAATAATGGAATTGTATCCTTTTTTTGCAGGACGTAACACAGTACAATAAAGTTAGTATTGGACACCCATCAATAGGCTATGTGGTGTCTGGTATAAATGAACTTTGCTTAGCATATTGAATTCTGTGTTTTGCTTCAATGATTCCTTCATAGGAGCCACCCCAGTGCTAGTTTTTACCTCGTGGTGGCATAAAAAGCTGACTGTCATTTGCATCATCTACTGAAAACTTGTGGCAGCTAATGTCGTGACTGACTGTACGTTCTAATGTCTTCTTGCAGAGCTAAAGATTTTCCTGTAGTGCCAGTACCCACGTGTGTGTTAAACCTCAGCATACCATGTAATTAATTGATTTCTTGTGGTGGTGATGGTGATGATCACACACTTAAATCCAGCAAAGCGTTTCTTTCCCTCCTCCTGACGGGAAATCCTATTTGTCAGCCGTGCTACCCACTCTCAGTGCTACGCTCATGATTCCACTCAGATTTTGTGTGTCCGGTTATAAATTTCATATCACATTTAAGTTGACACTTAATGCTAGTCGATTTGAATATGTGCTGTGTGTGTGTAAGTGTGTGTGAGTGATATGTGTGTGCCTTACATCCATGAGCCTTGGGAAATTGATTCTACAAATACCACATAATAGACATAAATGTATAAAGCTTTTTTTTTTTTGGGCAAACTGATGTATAAACTCCTTTTATTTGTTAAAATTACTGGCTTTGGTGTTCTGTAGAGATATTTGTTAGACTGATTTCAGAACAGAATGTAAGTATTGTGAAAATTACAGCTTAATAAATGGTTACTGTAATTTTGTTGTATGGATTTCCTGAGTGTGTTTCATCACTTCCAGCCAACTGTTGTGGAGTTTCCCAGTTTTGATACGTAACATTGATTCTATTCTCCAAACTAGGAAATCTTCACATCTGAATTTAAGTGTTCATGTGCAGGTAGGGTGGACCAGGTAAAGTAC